CCACTGCCACGAACCGCTACGCTCCCCAATAACGCACTGGTGTTTTCACTTCGATTGGTGATGAAACGTTTGCAATCCAATTGCCCAGCTCAGCGAACAAGCCAACGACCATCTACGCTACCTGAGCTACCAACAGTTGCCTCTATAGGCATCCAACTTTCGATGGCCCACGACAGATTTCGCCTTTCTTGGGACTCATCAGGTAGGCACAGTCCCCGAGTTTCTGTCAAATTACGTTCTACTTGAAACAAAATTGCCCAAAATTAACGAAATACACGAAATACACGAGGCGACCTGATGCAGCATATTCAGTGGCTTAAAACATCAGAAATGCGGGCTTTAGCTGGGCTTTAGTTGAGTCGACTGTAGAACCATATTGGTATGAAAATGAGTGTATTTCTCTAAGAGCAAGATTCCTTTTGAAAATTAAGTCTGTCACAGATGATTGCACCTCCACATGCATAATGATGTGTTGAGCGAGACACAAGAAAATCTAACATCCTGTGCCTCTAATGATTACAACACACAACACGGCAAAAACGGCACTCGATAACAAGGTTTCTGGTAATAACTGAGCCATACAAAAATGTTAATAACATGAAAAACGATTAAATTTAAAGCATGAAATGGTGAGTTTGTCTTTGTTTGGTCCTAGTTTTTGCTTCTTTCTGGTCGGGTACCTTCATATCCGTTGCAGAGACTGATTTGTTGATGGCGAGACAAGGTCGGGAGTTCCTTGCTGGATTGCCCAACGATTTGAGGCTGTTATCTGGTGATATACCATCAAAAGCCCCATAGGCTGGTGCAACTTAATCGGCGATACCCAGATGCATCTAGATTGTTCGGTATTGCGTCCAAATGGAAACGCTAGTACTGTCTTTCCAATGTTCGTTTTTATTTTAAGGGAGGAATTCCTATCCGGGGCAGAATCTGTAAATTTTTTGAAGGTATTATAAGCCTTTTTTGTTTTGTTGTTCTGTATTGAGAACGATCAGCCCGAGCAACGATAAACTTAACTAACTGTTTGAAAACATGGCAAACTTTACTCCCCCCCAAAAAGGTGCGGATGGCACTGACTGACGCCTCTTGAGATTGAGACCAATGCAGCACTGACGATGTCACCTCAATTGCTGATAAAACGTTCGCAGTCCAACTGCCTAGTTCGGCTTATAGACCAACAACCAATCAGCGCACCAGAACTGCCTATGTTTCACAACGTTGCCAATCTGTATCAACACCTGAACAGGCGTCAGACATTGTCACTTTTGACTTATGAACTTTGTGGTCAACTACTGTTGACGGTAATAAGTAGCAAGAAAGTTCCCGTGGGTAAAATCATTAGGATGGGTATCGGCTGCACTCCTAATTAGCTTGAGCAGTTTAGCATTTTACTGCTTTGTTTGAATCTGGAACAAGCGCTTGGTAACAGAACCCCAAAGCTTATTTCCCACAAAACAGCAAAGAGGATAGTATCCAGCATTTAGCATTTTGTGTTGTTTGCTAATCAGTTATGTCGTTAGTTTTTATCACTTTATGAAAGTCACTGTGCCATTTTGGTTATTCCTAGGATAAGAAATTAATTATCTTCAAATACCACATTTCTGTCCCACACTTTCAGCCTTACTTTATGATCCGTTTAACAGCGTAAATAGCCTATTTAAAAGTCCTATTTAAGGCAATACGGAGTGTGACAGAGAACAAGCCATCAGGATGGTTTTCTCTACTGCAAATTGTTAACAAGCGTGATTTGGAGTAAAGTAGTATTTTTATTCTAACAGTGGATGAAGCAATGCCCTTGTTACTCGAGATTCCCGAACTTCTGAAGATATCACAATGATTGCGTAATATATGTACCGTTTCTGGCAAGGTTCGGTAGCTTACGAGAATTACCTGTAAGTAGTGGCATTACATTTTTGGAACTCCCAATGGTTGAATTGGTTGCCGTAAATTACAACCAGTCTTGAGCCTGTTGGTGCTTCATGTATGCTATGAGTAGCCTTTCTTGGCTTTTTTTGCCGCGCATGTTCATGTAACCCATAGGACGTATAACAGCAAAGACGCTCTCAGAGGTCGCGTGTTTATTCGACGGGTACTCCCAAAACATTTGTTTGATGACTGCGGGAAATTTCAAGGTTACTTCGATCTTCACTTTTTGTCGGTATCTATTCAAGCAAAGTTTTGCCATGACAAGAGACTTTTGTTTAATTTCTCCTCTTATTCATTCAGTTATATAAAATCTACATATTCTCAACTTTGGATCCAAAAATGCACTTGTTTATGGCACCCTCATTTTTCGTAGCTTTCGGAGAAACAAGCACAAAACAATCACAAAACTACTAAACCAGGTATGTTCATCAACTAATCGCCAAAAACTAACCAAATGATCTCTGTAAATCCCGGTGTTGCTGGGTGATGGGAACTGTTGGGTTGAAATATTTCTTGCATTCATGATTTCATTCAAACAACAGCTCACAGTGTACAATAAACTTAAGGTAGTTAATTTAAACAAATGAACTCAGGTCACAGCACAATACCCTCACTTCAGAATGAAACCAAACCCCTCTTTCTTATCACCTGACCGTCACTTTCCTTGAGCAGTTACTTGAGTCTAATCCATCACTGAGGCAGACCAAATAGAAATCTCGCATCTGCTCTCATAAATCAACACGTCGTTCCTTCTTTAAGTTATCCATATCAAGTAGTTGGTGAATGCAACAGCTCCTGTTAAGCAAGAATATGGACAAGGGAGTCTTCCGCCCATCATCTTTGAAGAATTCACATGAATCCGAATGAAGCATTTCGCTGGTCTGATACCACGGCTGTAGCTACACACGGGGTGAACAACCCTATGTCCTCCGCCCAGCAAGGCCACATTCACATGAACAGCATTATCTTTGCCCCAGCTATCCTCGTGTGGGCGGTATCATAGAAGCGTCGACAATTTTGCCGGCACATCGAAGGGACATGGTAAACAGTGAGTAAGAATCTTTTTCATGAGGGAAACTACTCACAAGGTTGCTGAGTTTTCAGCAACCACTTGAAGCTGGCACGCAGTGTGTGGTTAGTTTACTAGATGTATCGGTCAGCTTGCGACAAATTTCTTTAGCATTGGTCATTTGTTGGTCGCTGAAGCTAGATGCGCAATAGTTTACTGGGTTGTCCGCTTAGTGGAAATGCATGATAACAGAGGAAATGACGGAGATATGTGAGCCTCTAAATTGACCGTAAAGATGTATACGCCGTTCCCTACTCTTTGTCAAACACCTATCTTCTGCGGCCTAAACTGAACACTAAACTGATCCACTACGACTGAACTCGAGCGTTCTGCTATAATAGTGTGAAGCTCACCTATGTTGTGGCTACCGACGAGAAGCTAAGACAAACGTTTGAACACCGAACAAGAAATAGTCTGAAAGAATATTTTGTGGAAACACCTGGTCCCTCTGCTCATCAGTAGGGGTGTTTTTTAAGGAAGAATAGGGAAATCCGGAGGTTTACCCCAAGAAATGCCCTTTCATGGAAGCAGCGGTGGGCTAAATGGGCAAGCACTTTCAGATTGATGGAGTAAACAGCTTATATTGGATTGGAGCCATAGTTTTGTTATTTCATCTAACAATTCTGAATGAAAGCTACGTTCTGCGAGCAAGAAACTCAGTATTCTCACGGAGAAATGAAACAGTGATAAGTAGTTGGTGAGCTGCATTGCTTCCTATTCAAGTGGCGAAATTTGAACTATTCAGAGCCACAGGAGCGGTCCAAAAACTCATCCTAGATAAAAATGCCACCGGAAAAATTACCCCAAAGAAACTCTGTAGGTGTCAGAGGCGTGTTATTGATTGTTAGTTGGTTGATTGCATCACCCGAAACATTTTAGCAGCGATTTGTTTACTAAATGGATTGCAAGCCAGTCGTGAATTTTGAACGGACCGACAATCAACTGAATGATGACACGTTAGTTCGCCCGAGAGGTTGTCATTTTGACAGGGTACTACCTAAGATTGGTTTCGATGCCCATGAGACAGTATAGTCGCTTCAGTAAGTTTGAACGAACATTATTTGATGAGGGATTATTCACTAGCCCACCGGTAAACTTTTTACATAGACAACACTGATGACGTATTCAGTACCAAATACACGTGGGAGCAAATAGACCTTCCTGAGTACTACTGAACTTGTGTTGAACCGACAAGGTGGTTCTACTCGACAGACATTTCAGAAGTGACTACATGCTACTACAGGTAGAACTTCTGGTGGGTCTACCCGAATTATGTTTCCAGCTTCTGAGGCCGTGGCACAAAATAAAAAGAATGCTTCATTCTTGTTACTTTAAAGGTACTCACACTCAACAGATAGTGTACACTATCCACTAAAGACCTTCAAATATGGCATCTGTTACATAGTGGAATGAAGGAAGTTTTGTCGTGGTTGCTGATAACTAGCACAGCTGATTCCATTGAATGAATAAGTTGGCCCGGTTTGTGTTCTACGTTACTGATTATCACCCGGTCTCGTAAGTTGTCAGTTTGTTGTTACAGTTATCAGGAACATGGGACTGTTAGTGGCCAATTCTTTATTCTCGCGCCCAGAGAATTACTTGCCCTCTGTGACAGATGGTGTACGCTGCTGATTGAACAACTCCTAGTCACTGTTTCTTCTTTCTGTACATTGGACTCGTGCAGCCCTTCACTTTACAGTCTTCAATTTGATCACGGAAGAATTTTTTAGATAAAAAGTTTGTCTAACCCTTAGCCGCACAATTCAATTACGTGGGCAATTTAATTCTTGCTCTGCCGCCAAAATGTGTAGAAATTGATTCATTCTGTGTTCCAAAAGAATCAAAACAGGTAGCGCTAATTACTCTCACAAATGCGGGTGGAAATTTCACCTCGGCGCCGCGCTGCGGGTCGGAAATAGAAAACAAACAAACCATACTGGCTAAAATGCTGTCACTCATATATATTTCGGACAAACGAATCAGAGTGTACTTACGCCGGGAGAACCACAGCTCGGTGATATCTGGAGACGGTTCAAGTAAGTGTACACCTTTCCTGGAAAGATTAAAACGACTTTTCTCTACAAAACAGTTTCAAACGTAACTCGGCAGCAAATACCTTATTCATCAATGGATACACTTTGAATTTATTATAGAAACTTCCCCATAAAGTGGATTTTCCATAAACGACGATAGTGTAGAGACCTAGCTCATGTGTGACAAGTTATAGATAAACTTGAAAAAATCGGGAACAGGGGCAATTTGGAACACTCTGGAAGAGGTTTGAAGTAAATTTCTTCACAATTTACACTGTGGGAAGCTAGAACTTCAGCTGATAAGGAGAGTACAACCCCCCCCCAAAAAAAAATTATTCTGCTATGCTCCAACCTAATTCAGTAGTTATAAAGTATAATAGTCAGACTTAGCTATGTTTGATTTTTATGCTAGCTTTCAAAATCATCGTTCCCGACAGCAAAAGATTAGTATTGAACTTCATGAAGCGAAACCATACTTTGAAATGTTTGCTGTAAAAAAGGATGAGCGTGTCGAAAGTTCGGATGAAAACTGATAATTATTTTATGGGTGTCAATCAGCGGAAGAGAGAGTGTACACTACTGGTACTAGTGTCTCGGTCCCAAAGGGTAGGATTTTGGATACAATTCTTCAGAATGAAGCAGTCCTCGCAAAAGGGTGAATATTGTGTGCCCGTTTTAAAATTAACTTCGCTAAAGTCATCACTTGAAGCAGGTTCGCCAACCCGACTTTCCGCATTTTCATGGTTTATGCAGCACTTGATTCAAGTTGTCAGTTTATCTACGGAGCGAATTAGTCTCTGTATGTGGCCAAGTGGCTTCCATTCAGAACTAAACTTTGACCACATTAAGGAGCAAGTTTGTTAGTGGTGTCTATGGACAAAGCAACGAGCCTGTCCTCATAAGCCTGGTGACGTGCCTACAATTCACAACGCTCTTGTTTGCGCTGTGAACCTTTGTTCAAACCGAAGTTTTTTCGCAATAATTTGACTGAAATTCGCCTACTGGTTGGACTCGTATGAGGCGAATTTGAGGGAATAAAACAGAATCACTTGTCTGATTATGGGATCCGGTTAGTTTGATTCAATTCACTCCGTGCGGAAGAGTCAACCCAACTATTTATAACATAACGCTTCTGTTCGTAGCTTCGCTGGTCACATGGCGGGGCAAAAAAACAGGTAATCAAACGAAATAACCCACAACAATGCAGTTGGTCTCCATTCCACGGTCCTCAGTTGCTGTGAGGGAATTGGGAATTCATTTCTTTCAATCATACGTTTTGTAATCATTGGCGCGAGGGAATCTTATTTGCATGTTTGATTCAGTGAGCTGCTTTTAGTCCGCGGTTAGCTTGCCGTTGGACCGGAAAGAGCTGAAGATAAATAAAGCCTTTCTTTCAACAAGGTTTGGTACAAAATCGATGGATGTATCACTAGTCACCAAGGCTTTGGCAGTCCAAGCGTGTAAGTCTGACCGAGTTGGTTAATGACGTGTAAGCCGTCCCTACCAGAAAACGTTACTACTAACTGCTGGTGCAAAGCCCTTATCTATTGGTGAGTGTGAATATCTTACAAGAATGGAAGGTTTAGGGAATATTACCCTCACCTTAAATCAAATTCCGGGCCTAGTATCATTCAATAATATTTTCATGCGCGTCAGAATGTATTAGTACAATTAGATTAGGTATTTTAACCGGCATGTGTTTAGCAGTTTGTACCTAAAGTACTTGTAAGGAAGATTCTTGTTTATTGATGATCACACACTTTCATGAGCCACCTTGGTAGAATAAAAGCGCCCTCACCCCGCTGTCAAACCTATTCTCTATATTTTCTTGATGTCGAGATGCTTGGCGAATTGTATCGCTTCAACCATTTGTCGCATTGGTAAAATCACACTAAGAGTATGTTGTCTTAGAAGTAGCCAGTGAATAGTTTAAGATGACAGCGGTACTCGGTTGAGCCTGGAAAACAACCGCCTTTCATTTTTCCGCTAACCTGCGGTCACACAGTGTAGGAAGTGTTCCTGAAGTGTCCTTTAACCGAAAGCCGTTCATAACGTAAGGATTAAAAATGTACCACACTGGTGGAATTTGTCGAATTTATCCATCCTGATGACACCGAACGATCCATCTACGTAATACCAAAAATATTGGTGGATATTGTATTTGGATAAGGGTTTCGGGTCATAAGTCTATTCGTCATAACCAGTGGTATAGGAAATCAAGTCTCCATACTGTTTCATGAGAACGAATAACTGAAGCAAAAGCAAATTGACTGAGATTCGAACACATCTTGAAGTCATCAACTATCTAATTGGTAGTCGACTGAGTCTGTAGCTGAATACCGTATTTTCAGAAGCCCATCTGCTAGTCTAGTATTCCCAAGAGCCGCACTATTTAACTTCTCCGAATTTTAGTTTTTCCTTAACATTTGTGCCTAAAGATTGTAGCTACTGGTTCACAGAAAACAAGCTTTGTTAGCTACCGTCTTCGTTCTCATGACTACCACGGGTATATTCGACCACTTATTTGTTTTAGCCAGATGTTTTATTTATTTCCATTCTTTTTGTTGCCCTTAATTCGGCACTGTATTTACGGTTTATTTGACAAACGCCATTTTTCGCATTTGATCGTGCCTGCTGGACACATACTCCTTTTTTCTAATAAAACACATGGCATTTTGGCTACTGAACCAACCACAGTAGTAGTAAACTTTCAGTAGTTTCTAATGCGCTTCAAAACATTCACTTAGGTTACCGTTGCCGATCATTCTACTTCAATCGAATTCTGATCAAATGGCGCGATCGGGTAGTATTTAAAGGTATTTGATATAGTTTGTTTTTCCCTTTCGTGTCAGTGTGCCGTAGTATCTCCGGTAGCTCGTAAAAAGAGGTTTGATGTGTGTATTTTGTAAAGAATAGGGATGCATATATATATATATATATATATATATATATATCTGCATGTATGCATATGTACAAGATGCATAAATGAACACCGATGACCAAAGGCGAAAGATCACGTTGGGTCTTTTGTTGACATCAACTAACTTTGCTAATGCGTGGATTTCATCGTTCCAAAAGATCTGTTTTCTAGTTGCACTAGTCCAAATGAATTCAGAAAAACCTTTAAACTTTAGAATTACGGCCAGCTGTTGGATTCCTTGGGAATATGAATGACGTGGAACGTACTGTTTGCTTTTACACATGGGCTTATAAGGCGTACAGCACACTCTTTCAATCTGAATCCTAATTGTACTCATATGTAAAGATGGCATCAACTTTTTTTGTGCTGTTGCACTGGAGATAGTTGATGTGGACAAAATGTGAGATTATGACTGTTAACCATGAATCTTTCCAGCATTTCATTGGAACAGAGGCCGTAAGATTGAGTTTTCTATCCTCGACTTTCCTTTAGTTAAAATCCGACTAATTTTGTGGACTTGGTGGATACATGCGGCCTTGATTCCACGAAGAAATGTAGTTCGCATCGCAATGGCATTCGGATGAAGCATTTTACTTCTTACCTGAAGCATGTTGTAGGCGAAGGAACAAAGTTCACAACAGACCGGAAAAATAAATTAGATTTTGCACCTACGAAGCAACATCCCCCTCGTGCGAGACCTGGAACTCGCATTCGGCACACAAATTAAGCGATTTCATAATGAATTCCAAAGTTTCACACACATCTAAAAATGTACACGCTGCATTAGAAAAACTGGCTGCCTCAAAAGCATTTCTCCATAAAAAAAAGACGTTCGTTTATGAATATCGTCTGTAAGTTCATGCGTAATGCCAATGATACTCAGCTTTCATAGTCTACTGAATTGCTCCAAGTTTCCGATGTGCGCTTCACTTTCAGCATGTCCAAGCAGATTTCGTTAAATTACTTCTCACTTTCAGCCATGATATCACGGAAAATGATGATTTTAGCCCCGATTTTCCTGTTAATCCTCGACGTGCAAAGTCGACCTTCGAATATTGAAAATGCAGCGAGTGAAGGTAGGTTGAACTTCTAATTTTTCATGCCCAAATTTAAAGTTTATTCCGATTTCTCTCCTTGGTTTGTAGCACAAAGGTTTTCACGTTATAATTTATGCAGTAAGATCAACCATTCCTCCCAACTATAGCCCCCTATTTCCAAGAACGCTTCTATACTTAAAAAACACATAATAACCACAACCAGAAAAGCGTAGTCTTAAAACTTTCTCATCCGGCATGCTTCACAGGTCATTCTTAGTTCCACTGGATTCAGTTCATATAAGTGAAAGCAATACGCCTATTACAAGCTGGTCGGTTTGGCTTTTGGCTCGCCACCTAATAGTATAAAAGGCCACGCTGTGACGTCTATCCAGTACCGGCTTTCTATCACTTAGAACACTTTCTCGGGGAAGCAGCTCATGCTATTTCGGTCTGGACACAGATCCTTGTCTTGAGTCAGGAAACCACTTCAACAACTATATTTCCAGGTTGCATCAGAAAGATGCAAGAAAAGATGCGAGATTTTTCATGCAAAAACGAGCAAACAACCTATCAACAAACATTTTTGTGTTTGCGTGGCAACAGGGACGAATACTTAGGAAAACCAAAGGCAAATATGACTTGTAGTGTGGAAGGAAATATATCGATGACTTCGGATAGTCTCCAACAACAACGCGGCGAACTGCACTACCTAAGTGCCTTAGGCCAAAAAAGCATTCCGTTTAACATTGTCGCCATCATACTTTTGGAGCTTCATCCTATAGCTAATGATTCTGACGAAGAAGAGAGAGTGTAGATGATATCACAACAAACCCAGTTATTTAATTAACAGACTCAAAGCAGCCTAAATTACCGAGTACGATGCTGAGGCATACACTACATGCCTGGACGCCAGATTGAATTATCTGCTTCAAGGTCTCACGTTAGAGCTTGAGGCGGATCTGCAGATTAAAGCATGAATTTACCAAACTGAATTTCCAAGGTCCAAACTTAAACTTTGATTCTAGACTGCCTGTATAGGTTTGGGAAACCTGGCAGTATCCCGAACTTCATGCTTCCTTTGGGTTGCATAAAAGCTAGAAACCTAGAGGGTGTTACGGCTGAACAATTAGCATTTTATTACGCTTCCACGTGCTGTACTTTAATGTCTTCATTCGTGAGATATTTATTGTCTTAAAATAAAAAAAGCTTTTAGGTTGCAACCCATGTGACCCATATATCCCATATACTTGCATTCGGAACCTAATGAGTAATCTTGGTTTTATCCATTTCAGTGATATGTTTCAACCCTTGTATGGGATTCTATAGCAATATGGACGCTGTTTGATCAATCCATATCTCATACAGAACTTCCTTGTCTGTGTACTAGGGTGTTCTATTACACTCCTTACATCTTGATAAATTAAACCGGTGAGAGTTGAAAATTACATTGATCTGAGGCCGGTGGATGGATGAAATTTTTTTAAACATTGCATAGGCTTAGCTATGCATCTAGAAGGTGTTACGTTTAGTTGTGTGGTTTGGAAAACATTGTCTGAATTCAGCAAAGAGCACAGTTATGCGTGAGACTTGTGAACCCAGCTATTAGCGCCAGGTTATTCAGTGTTGCTTCAGTAACACTATACGAAAAGTGGAGGAAACACCGAAATCGGGAACTAGAAAGCTTGCAGGAAAAGTCCATTGTTCCCATTCAAGTTTCTGTAACTGCCAGTTCCCAGCTGGTATCTGCTAACTAAACCGTTCTGTTCTAAATATTAGGCTGGTTCAGTCGGTCTTTTAGGCCAACTTGTCTGCTTGCATAACCCGGATATGCGCACTCTTGTGGTATTCGGCTCAACTACTCCCACTCACAAATTTGGAAGGGCGGGGTAAACTACGCACCACTTTGAAGGTCGTTTTGATATCTCTTTTGTGAATCGCAGCCACAAGCTAGGCCAGAATGCGGCTTATAATCTTGTGTTGGTCGAGTAGGGCAGTGGTCACTGATGGAGACAGAATGCTGACGCATGAACCAAAATGGAACGTTCCCGATAGGCTACTGAGTGAAGAAGTCCCCATGAACGAGACCAACACCGAAAGTTCATCCCTGTTATTCAAAGAGACGATAAGGTGGCTTTTGAGTGAACAAAACAAATGATCAGTGTCAAAGGTTTATTGGGTAAATAAAACAAGCTTCGGATAAGAACAGTTACCAGGAGATGCCATGAAATCTCAGTTGATTAGCAAAATGTGTCTCCGTCACGAGCAACTATCTGCAGCGAGTCGTGATTCGTACACATACCCAGCTGGCTGTCAGGAAGTATGAAAGTACCTATGGAACTGCACCTGGCATTGAACCGGAGTGTGAGACACCAAATAGTGGAAAATCCACTTTTTCAGAAGTGAAATCGCAACTATAAGCAGTTGTTTGCCAGCGAACTGCGACAAACCCAACGTAGATAATTCGCAGGGTGGTTTTCAAAAATATGTATTCCTAATGGCCAATTCCACGCATACAGCCTGGAATAAGCGTTAAACTTCAGTGTTTTTTTAGAGTGGTGGCCACAACTCAGAAGGGGAACCTGAAATTGTACAGGATCACAAGGTTACAGATCTTGTAAAAACGCTTTTTATTACTCTGATCTGATTCCACTTTTATTAACATGTTTAGTCTACAAATTGCTTCCGATACATTCCCCATTATTTTTGAAAACCACCGTCAATGATTTCCACCCACCGCACCTGTTTGAATCCGTTTTACTACTCTGTTCAAATTAGATGACCAAGATGACAACATGGAACAAAACGTGTCAGCTGATGAAGATAGTGCTGATATGGCAACGGAAAGCTCTGAGGATGAAGACTCCACAGAACAGACTGATGCTGCTGATAATGACGATTCCCAACCGGAATCTCCGGACATATCTTCCACGAGTCAGTCGGTGGGTGATGAAGATGAAGCAGACAGTGCTGAAGGAGATAGCGTGGAAAACAATGCTGATTCAGTAAGCTCCACTGCTCTCCCACAGCGGTCAACAAAAGAAGAATCGGAAAACGAGTCGGCAAAAAACGTTGAGCCGACTAAATCGCGTGAAACGGAATCGCAAAACCTCATGAAGGAAGAAGTGTCAACTGAAAACCCTGATAAATTTACTGCCACCGATAACAAGGATAGTCAAACCAGACTACCCGAAGCGTCACTTGACGCCGTAGCTGCTGTTGTTGACAGGCGAGTGAAAGCAAATGAGACCGCTGAGTCAAACCTTGAGCATACCGAACTCTCTAAACAGAACTCAGAAAACACTACGACGGTACCCGTGGTCAGCACAGTCAACGCTACTGGATCATCGTTGTTGGCCGCGGCAGTGTATACACAAACCAAAGAACCTCTACCCACAATCGAAGAACAGAATGATACTACTCCTGTAAAAGTCGTGAATGAAGTTAGTTTGGAAAATAGTATGCCTGCTAATAATTCTGCGAACCATGAAACTGTAGACTATACGACCACTCAAGCTACAGAGGCAGCCGTCGCTTCACCTGTGTCAAACAATGAAGAAAACACGGAAACCGTGACCACCGCTACGGCTAATTCCACAGACACGACACCGGAACCTGAAGTGCCACAAAGCGGTGGTACAAATGAAACGTCAAAAGAGGCACCACGAAATCTGAGCAAAAATGTCAAACCGGTTTCTTTTGCTGAAAACTCAGAGAAAACGATCTCCTTGCCTAACGAGATTCCAAGCACATTATTGGCAGAACCGACAAAAGCCAACCACACAGTGACAGAAGCTTCGACTAAAACCGAGGTAGACGAGAGTAGTTTAGAACAAGATGGTTTCAGAGCCGTCTCCTTTGACCTACCCGTCTACAATGAATCTCTTCATCAAGAACTTTTGATGAATGAATCTGCGTGGGTAAAAGAGTTGGCAGCCGCTGAACATCCAGAAGAACAAAGTACAATCCATGATCCATGTGTATACATCAGCGAGAATATCCAAAGTGTCGTTGGTCTTAATGTAACAAAAGAACAAATCCACAATAGTCTTCCCACTTTCCGATTTCTTTTGGAGGCCGATACGGAAGAACTGGCCACGATCCGAGATACGGTGAGTGAAATACTTCATTCGTGAAGTGGCGAATACGTTTTCATGCCTAAATTACCACTCGAGTCATAAGGAATATCTGTCTACGGGACAAATACTAGCGGATAACTTGTGGACAGATTTGGAAAATACATAAATGAACAAAATCACTTCCTGGTGATTAAATGAAGACCTCGTTCTTCTACGTGCGTGGTAAGATTTTGGGTAGTTGCCAATCGTACAACTCAGAGTGCAGTCTGGAATGAAGCAGAGATGATCAAATGCGTACTTATTACGTGATTCCTGAGGATTTTGAATTGTTTACTTGATTGACCAGTGACCGCTTTCTAAGGAATGCGATGTCTGGGCCAAATCAAATTTACTATTGAATAGCCGTACGTCATACATTTACGTGAGATGGGAAAATGAGCCATCGACAGGGGAGATTATGAATAGGATCGTCAGGTGACTGCATTATGTTAACTATACGTGGCACTTCCAAATCAACACGAGCGAACTGCAAGGAACTAATTTGCCATTATCATCGTTCTTTTGTGTTTGCTATTTGGAGCTTTGTAGTGCGTAATAATCCATTCGTATCAGGGTCGTACTGACCCAGACCGCTGGGTCAGTAGTAAAGCTGCCCCAAGCGTTAATCTTCTGCCTCTTTCATACACTCAGCTAATAAACCACGCTCTCCCAGCATCCTTCGGCTAATTGGCCTGATGACGACAGGAGGTCAAAAAATGCCGAAAAGTTAGGTCAAAGGCCAGACGTTCACCTCCGGAAGATTCTCTTTCGTACGTGTAATTCATATGCAGATTTTACGAGGCAATATTCAACACGCCTCCAGCTGTTAAAAAGTTTTTTTTCAAACTTTGAAACACGCTGTTAAATGCAAAGTGTTTAGGATGAAATGAAATATGACATGGAAGCCTCCCCTGCCACTGAAGTATGGTGGAGTAAATCATTCGTTCAGGACAGTCTGAAGCAGTGATTCCTGACTTTTATTGATGCTGCGCATATCCGTATTTTGTGGCAAGTTTGCTGGGCCTAGTGGGACCGGACTGGTCCGACGAAGGGTTTAGTAAAGAAAACTTACGTATATGCCTATTTACCGGGAGTGTGTCTGTTAGAATGCGGAAATTGGTGAGAATATCCCTAGTCGGATATGTTTATTGACAACTGATCAGGTGGCGCTTGACCTTTTTTCGGAAATTTCGTTAAGTTGCGAATCCTTCAGGTCCATCTGCGATAACATAATTTATAAACCCAAAGAGCTTGGCTCTTGCAAATTTAGCTTGCATGGGATTTGATTGATCCGCCCGGGATTTGTGATGCTTTTTGGTCTGACTAACATGCATTCGATTGGTTGGTTTGATAATACCCTTTGGGCAATGGTGATTGGCCCACTTTACTGGCCCTGCGCCTTGATTGATCAGTTGACTAATTTTAACCTTAGTAGTTTCCTTTCTTTTATTTCACTAGATTTTGGGAATTTCAAAAGAGCTATAGTAAGTAAATGAAGCAATAATGCTACGGCCTATTGTATCGCTCATGGGACCCCCAAAATAAAAGACAAAATATTTAAACTAGTAGATAATGCTTCCTTAAACCAGCTGATACCCAAACCAACAATGCAAAGTTCAATGTGACATTACGGCATCTCTGAACGTTTATTAAATTTATTATTTATTTGGTTTACTTCATTCGATAATAGCATTCATCCAGGAACAAATTTAGTTAGTAAATGAAAGAGAGGGAGAGTCTCAGAAAGGCTTATATCTACAGCAAACTTAAAGAAGTCTATGAGTAACACTACGTGAAAGTTTGTTGATTTTTCTCCTTCTGTGTATTTAGATGCCCATGTCTCTGTTTGTTCAAGGATGACTTTAATACAGTCAAAGTTGACGAGAAACGTATGCCGGAATATGTGGTGGAACTTAGACTTTTACCACACAAACCCAAAAATTCATTGTCAGCAACCAGAATCCGGTCAAACATCTAGCTAGAGAGACAAGTCATTCCTTGTAGACAGGTTTGAAGCTACAACGAATTCCAGAAAAAAAATTTCCAGTTTCTAGCTAAGATGTTTGTGAGTGAGAAGTCATTGGGTCAGACGAGTTTGATGACGAGACCATGCTAGTCGCATGCTTTATTCTACTGGCTTCTGAATTTCATTCCAACTTGCTGTGGCGTTCAAAAATTTCAGGCAGTCAGTACGTTTTCTTCTTTAGCTCACAGCCTGTGTGAATGCAGTGGCCAAAAAGCAGGAGGATTCCGCGACCAGTTGCCAACAAATACGTAACCTTATCAAAAAGACATGCGAAACAATTGACCTCTGCCGCGGTAAAGAAAGCTTCATTTTTACCAAATCGATGGAACGACTGCGTGATGTGATTGAAACGGATCAACTAGCTGATGCACTTCTGATGGTAAGTTTGAGCTTCGATTGTTAGAGGGAATGTGGCCATACAATGGCCAAACACCTGTGGGATTATCCTACTGTACAAATGTTGAATACCTGTTGCACGTCACGTCCAATAGGCCAATCTGTGTAAGTAATAACGTTAAACTACCGATGTGTCCCAAAGAAGAAACAAAGAAAGGTGTGATTAAGCCGCCATCTATTCACGCTTATCACCAGTTTTGTGGAAATCGGTAATAGTACTGACTATACACCAGTAGTCACAGCATTCCAAATATATTGCTGATTAGTACGATACAGACATTATCATATCATCAGCTGCCGAAGATCCACTGTCAAACGCTTTCTCTTCCGGCCAAAACATTAGGCCGATAGTGAGTGATCCCATGTATACCCAGTGGGTGTCAGTAAGGAGAAAGGAAGGTTCTCGTATAGCCTACAGTTCCTAAGGAAAGGAAGGTTCCCGTATAGCCTACAGTTCCTAAGAAATGACCACAACTTTCTCACCAGGCGCGTTTGCCTACTTTTTTTTATATCTATCCAGCTGAGGGATAGCCAAACAGATTAGTTCATTTTTGTTACATGGCCGCTTGATTAGTTCACATTTCAAACGTTTGGTGTTTTGTCTCGCCACTCCAACGGACATCTTGATTTGCCTCTTGGGAAACACACAGAACCAGTCTGATTGTGTGTTTTCTTTTGAATCGGATAATAGACTATCTTTGTACACTGTAGTTGAAACTAAATCCATAGCCAGCAGGGACGTGCTACAGCATACGTTGACCCAAGCTGTCCGAGTTCAGTAGTTGGAAACGTCTCGGAATTTTTCTATCCTTAAACGCTGTTCTCCTCGGCTGGTTGGTATGAAGAATTGATCATCCTAGCAATTCCAACCTCTTTGTAAATGAGCTTAGGTTAGTTCCATTAGTGCTCACAAATGCGGCTGCAGTATAAAACATATTGGCGTAAGAATTAGGAATTCTTCAATAAAGCTGAAATGCTAGCTATTCAATTCTAGGTTCTAATTCCTTAGAGAGGAATGTCAAGCCTTCTTTTCTGTTTGATCGAACAATAGAAGCACAGGTTGGGCCAACGCTAGTCCACGTATCTTGTCTCAGTCCCATAGTCCACGAAGGTCTTCACAAAACTCACGATTCACTAGCGTTCTCACTTCCTCCTGATGAGTCCTTGGTGATTGCAGGACTCTACAAAACAATTCAGTGAATAGTAAAGGAGGACTGTTCGAACAAGAGTGATGCGGATTTTAATTCTACAATTTCCGCAACCAGATAAACCTAAAATATTCGCTTTAACATTTAGAAAGAATCATGCACTTGTCGTTTGCCCACGTCTCTCAAATTTTAGAGACGGATCACCGGTGCACGTACAGAGGATCCTCATTAGTCAAGATAATTGCTGGTGACGAATTTCCCATCTTAACTCATTTAGTAATATATTGATCATCCAGGTTTTCCTTATGTTTACCGTGTGTCCATCGCCCGCCATGGCAACTGTACACTTCAATCTTCAAACGTCATACTCACTAGGGAAAGGCAGGAACAATTGGTGTCGTTACCTTGGCTACAATGCACCAATTCGTTGATGCCCGAAAATCCAGTTGGTCAGCAGATATTATATCATAGCATCTTTAGTGTCCTGTTCACTAAATCGAAATCCGTACGCCTGTGCACATTTGTCATCTCAATTTTGTTTAACTAGTACTATTCCTATAAGCTCTTTGTTCGAGCCATTAACTCGTTCTGGTTTTCAGTAGTCCGGATTCTAGTTTTCATTTCACGATCTCTGCATCTGGTCTGCAATGACATTCTGACGTCATCGTGAGGACGTCTTTGTCGTTTTTGGCACATGGTTCATGAAATTTACGAACTCCAGTGTTAAGGTTTATTCGCAACCCTGAAGATAAACTCATTGGTAACATTTAGATGATACCCAGGGATCGGGAGACTAGATACACAAATGGCGTTTGGTATTAATGACCTTGTAGTTGGATCTGCAATCGTTCGAATCTTAGTCAAGTCCGTCTAATACGTTTTCTCACCAGATGTCTCAGGCGTGTAAACGGCGTACTCCTACAAAAACCTCATGCCTGTTTACCCTAGGTTTATTTATTCCAAATATGTGTATGGAACTTACCCAACGCTTATTTTTTATCCTCCGTCCCACCAGGTTCGTGCTTGCGCCGGACAGACCTATGAGTAGTCGCAAACGATTTCACCACAAACCCTAAGAAAACGTTGGAAAATACATTTATCCCCAAAATATAGACTTCTTTATCCTTGTTCCCCACCAAACTGTTACTTTGTCAAAGATGGGGGCACTTTCGCACCAGCTAGGTTCATCCATGTCGAATGAGCAGAACTTATCCTATGCGCAAATAACTCAGTGTTACGATTTCTTGTAATTAGTAGAATAGTGGGTGACTTTTTATGTGAGCACCGGAGGATGTATGCATCACAGGCTTCTAAGCATCCTAATTATACTTATCAATAATAGTTCGGGAGAGGACGTATGCCGAAATTCTGCTTTTAAGTAGTGTCGCGTTGATATTCACAATCCGAATTTGAGTTGTAAACATCAGGCGTCATTTTATTGTGGCTTATTTATAACTCAGTTGTCATTTATATCAGAAGCATGCCATCCGAATGACGGAAGAAACCAGAATATCCGTTTTATGAAAACTCGCGCTTTATCCTTTATCGACTTCGTTGCTGAGTTCCTTAACCTGCATATACACTACATTATTAAAGTGAATTTCATAGAAAGGTCTCCTGTTCCAGCAATACAAATGTGATATGTCAAAAACCCAACGCAGAACTAAAATTCGCCAGCTCTAACCGTAAAATTGGGTTTGCTTGTATTAACCGAGTTATCCTGATTCTGGCTGAACCTACGCTAGGTGTCTGCATAGTGACAAAAAGAGTAGCGTTCACTTTCCAGTGGCAAAGTGAAGTGACCATTTCGAGTTCCTTTAAACACACACAGAAGGTTACTTCTTGGTGAATCACTTTTCGACAAAGAATCCAAATACTTCTGAGGATTTTCATACCCTTTGCGGGTGATTAGATGAAAGTTTTCTCGGACTAAAAGCTATCAACACAATCTCTCCTCAAACTGGTGAGATCGGTAGCCTGTCCCCTGATCCAGTATTTCAGCAACGAACGTATGTACGAAGATATAAAGAGAATCAGTACTCATTGGGTTTATTGTTATCTTCGTTCAGACATAAGAATCAGTATACTGTGAACACTGTGCACCACTCTGATATTTCATATGCTCATGACGCCTTTTATAAAACTACATCTTTCCACCTACAGATCGAAAAATAGTAGATCACTGTAGTTGACGTGAAAATTTCTTACAGATGTTGAATATTTATATCGTCGATTATTCTCAGTTACTTATTCAAAACCGTTCTTTCCGCCAGGTAATTTGCAACACCAATAAATTTGCCCGTTTTTGTTTTATCTTCTTATAATGAAATCACCTCAGCTAACAGCCGGGTGTGGAGCATTGTACGCTGCATATTTGTAGTAGAATCGATCTCGATGCTAACATTAGTTGCACCACGCCAAACGAGAGTTAAATGTGCTGCTTCAAAATACTGGAGGCTCGGATGGCTTTCACTGCTCCAAATCTGTTTACCGAGCTTAGCAAACGACGTGAAGTTTTTTCGTCACTATGCACGGGTGATATCACTAGCACGCTGTTGTTTGGCTGCTTTTTGTTCTGCTATTTGCGTTTATTAGCAACCGAATTATGCAACGCGATAACCTTGTCTGTGCGATGGAACGACACAGCAATTATTTTCTGCATGTCTACAAGACTACTGGGACCTCATGTATGCCAACAGACCGCAGAAGACATCAGGAAATGAAAAAACAGAGCGGTTAAATACCAGCGTCATAAATGCGGTTTAGTGCCGTGACTAGGAAAGCACTGCGTGGAAAACTGAAAAATTAAGCTACCAAAAGTTATGGATGCGAAATTGCTTCCAAAACATGAACTACAGCCGGTATTCTGTACATTCAAATTGAAGCAGAAAGCGGTTCAATAAGCAACCCACCGAAAGAATGATCTGATCCTAACATTGCAATAATGGCGAAACGCGATAGACGGAGGAAGAGAATCGATCACCGCAGAACGCATCGGTGATATAAAATAAAACGAAAAGTTAAAACTCATAAATGCATAGTTAAGCTATGAGTTGATCTCGAGAGAGGTCAGAGAATCAGACGATACAAATGAAAAACCCTTAAATGTGAAACAGGATGATGAAATCCCTAACTACCTAGTTAAGTTTCAAACATTGGATACAGTTAGGTGAACTGGAATACCTCAAGATTAAGACGAGTAAGCATGCACTCAAGAGCATACTGGTGACAGGACGAAGGCATTCTCTGCGGATACGTTTATTAGAAAACACCAACTGAACAGTTACAGACTATTGGGCGGGAAGCAAAACTTTCCTATGCATCTTGTTCATAAAAACTGCATATCCGTATTCTTCTCGAACGCGTCTTCCTGAACTTTCCTGGATGTTCATTGACTATCGCTCAAATGCAAAGAAATGCTACAAAGCAATTCCACAAATTCTTTAATAAATTTCCCTGTTGAATAGATGCGAAGCGGAATTACGGGGAAACATACTACTCGCATGTCTCATCAGTAGTATCCACCATTGGCCTTGTATAGTCTCTCTTATTTGTCACGAAACGTTTTTAGATCTACTACCAGGTTCGGTTGACAATCGGAAAAAACGCGAATTTCTTCCTGACAGTGAAGTCAAACGAAGTTTGTCCTGCGTTGGTTGGGCTTTCTTCATGTGTCATGGAAAAAACCAAACGCCTTCATCACGCCATTGGTCAACGTGGAAAACCTCTACATATTTTGCTGAACTATTACGCTGCGGGCTAGAAAACGTAGCAGATTTGACAAAAATGGGTTTCGTCGTTCAGATTGACATGTATACAGGTTTCCTGAAGCTGAAAATTTAAAAATTAAATGGTTCCTACTCCAATATCAAAGGAGTGACTTCTTTGTTGCTATATGCATGCACAAAAAATACTGTTTTTGTTGATACACAATTCAACAAAAGCATAAGGCGCCCTGGAATCTGCCGCTGCTTTATGGGAATGTCGAGACAGTTCGGACAGCGTGCAAATCAGTTGTATGAGACAGATTACCTGAAAATTGCTGGCATCTTTCTGTTCATGTCTAGCGCTGAATTAAAATCCATCTCACACTATGTATCCATTAAAAAAATAAATGCTTCATCCCAAGATGACCAGGTCGGACTAACATGCTTTCATATGACGCCCGCCAAACCCCAACAGGACTTTGCTACTCATCGGCTAGGCAATATGCAGCTTTTATTTCAGGCAAACGATCAGTAGCTTCAAAGGTTTATCCATTTTGGAACGGGCAGTGAAATAGGCATTATCAGTCCGCTTTTCACTCATTACGACATTCGACGCTACCATGGTTCTCAATCTAAACTTCAAGAGCAGAACAACCACCCATTGGCGGTTTACCAAGGAAGTAATTTGTATACTTATATACATTATGCAGTTCGTTTTGTCAACCTAACTTACCGAAAACAGAGAATTCGATCATCGACAGCATAACAGTATCCGTTGTTCCGAACGAGTAACTTTCCTTTCCGTTCACACGGAGGTAGATATACAAACGGGATTAAAAACGCGGGTAGTTTAAAGAAAAGTTGCTGTGAAATGTAAATCCCCCCAACCATAACCAGTCTTTCAAAGGCGAAAGTCAAGACACAGTGCAACGATATTTGTCTTATCGCCCCTCTACAACACGCAGAAAAAGCAAAATGTAATATTCCGGTAAAAATCGAGGTGCGGATGAAAACGCTCCCTTATTGTCTTTTTCAAAATATGTGCTGGTGGGCCTCTGTTACTTCAATAAAAATTACGCCTACGGAACTTCCATTATTGTAGACTCTGTTGGTCAGTGCTCATTTGCTATATGCATTTCAACTGACACTAGTTTGGTGGAGAAACCAGAAAATAAGCCACGCTAAAAATATGCTGAGTGCCCGAATGAGTACATTATTCTCTGTCTGTGAGTATCCTCCAAAGTAGAAAGGAAATTCTCAATATTTTTTCTTCCTAGCGTATTGAGTTCACTATCACAGAAAAACTGCCTAATAAGGGGAAGCCCTCAAATTTGCAACGAGAAAATCTCTGAAATCTTCAGAAGTAATGAAGAAGGAACTTCTTAGGACATAGTCTCAAGTGCAAACATTCTGTTTGGATGAGGTGAACTCAACCTGAAAGTGTGTCATCCTTTTTTCCCATCCAATGACAACTGCCACACAGTTCTAGTAAAGCTAGTAAGGCACGATGAAGTGCGTCCGTAAACTTACATTGACAGATAAAATTGCCTTTTCCGGTCGACTTAGAACAGACAGGTACAGGCACAGATTTTTGCAACTGGGTGTCAATTTGGAGGGTAATAAAAGTTGGAGATTACACAGAGGTTCATTATCCCGCACTGCGCCCAGAACAGAAAAACCCGTACATATATATCCGAACTATATCCTGAATCAGGATAGCCCCATATTTGGTGATAAATTTTAGAAACTACAAAAGCATGGCTCTCATACTGACACGTGATTGGATCATATGTTATCTGAAAGTAACTACCATGCCTATCTCACCAAGTTGCGCCAATCGATAGGACTGGTAAATGTTAGGCTAATAACTGATACCTAATAACTGGTACCTAATAACTGAACCTAATAACTGATATCCTTTCAAAATTTATATATCTGACTTTCTCGGAGACAAATTCGCCCAGCATTGATTCCTAGCCAAGTTTACGCGTCTTGCTAACTCTTAGTGAGAAGTCGTATATTCTAAAGAAGTTACTTAGAGTTTACAGCTCATAGCACCATATTTCGGCAATTTATGCTCTCGACCTATGCATAATAAATATTTTGTTTTTGCCAGAATGAGTATAAGTAACATTGTTTTGTCAAAGAACATGTATGGCATGTTGAGCCGTCAATAGCCTGTAATTGATTCCCTTTTTCACCCGATGTTCGCTGATGGTTCAGAATATCTTTCAGAGTGTAAGGGTAGTGTGCTTTGTATTCGAGTCTGAAGCATTTCCAGCAGGTAAAAGAAGACAGTTCTTTTTACGCGAAAATTGTGAATTGTTTTTTCTGAAATAAGTCTAGTTTTGTTTTCGTTTTTTAGTCCCTTCAACTAAAAAATGTCTATAAAACGTAGGT